CAAATGCTGAAGGAGAAAGGTCTAACGTTGGGAGAAGGCATAGTGCAGGCACTGACTAGATCAAAGGCACGTGCGCTGGCTGCGAGAGCAACATTCACTGAGGCAAACAAGCCTCAAATCGACAACGGGCCTGGTTGCGAGTTGGACACCACGGAAACAAATCGACTTGTGCGAGAACAGGCTGCAGAAGCCGTAGTCGCGGAGGCAACCATTCCTAAAGGCGACGTTGAACCTCCTCCCGTATTGGAAGGGGTCAATTACGCCTCGTTGACCGAGCAAATAGAAAATGCCGTTGCTCCCAAGCCGATTCCTGGTAGTACAGAGGATAGCACAGAGGGTGACACATTCCAGGTACTAGGAAATACAAAAGAGTTGTGTGTCATGCCAACTTCGGATAATTTCAGTCGGCTGCTGCAGGTGAGCCCCGCTTCATTAATAACCGAACAAAAGGGGGACCCGACGCTTAAGCAATTCCAGGACAGTTCGAAAGAGGGAATCGCCAAACGAAATGTGAGATTCCAAGAGAGGAGCGGCATACTCTATCGAAAATATCTAGATAGGCGAGGAGTAGAGTTTGACCAGGTAGTCGTACCTCAGGCGTATCGTCAGGATTTGCTTAGTTTGGTGCATGGAGAATCATGGTCAGGCCACTTAGGCGTAAAGAAGACGAAAAATCGTCTCTTACAGGAATACTACTGGCCTGGATGCTTTAAAGATGTAGAGAGGTTTGTAAAATCTTGCGATGTGTGTCAGCGAGTGGGTAAGCCGGGAGATAAGGCGAAATTTCCAATGAAGCTGGTACCCGTAATCACGGAACCCTTTCGTCGGTTGGTAATTGACACAGTAGGCCCTTGCCCAAGACAACTTCAGGCTACCGTCACATCCTGACCTTAATCTGCCCCGCTACTAAATTTCCAGAGGCGGTCCCGCTAAAAGAGCTAAGTTCCATGGAAGTAGTGAACGCACTTCTGTCCGTGTTTGCCCGGGTAGGCTTTCCTGCCGAGATACAATCAGACCAGGGCAACATTTTCACGAGTGCCTTAACGACAACCTTTCTAGAGCGGTGTGGCGTGAAATTATTGCATAGTTCAGTCTACCATCCGCAGTCGAACTCGATAGAAAAGCTTCACTCCGTGATGAAGCGAGTGTTAAGAGCCAACCTGTGCTTAGTTCACCGGACTACTCGAGGCCTTTCATAGTCCAATGCGACGCTAGTGATAGAGGCATGGGGGCAGTTCTTAGTCAAAGGGATGAGGGGGATCAAGAGCATCCCGTCCTCTATGTTAGCCGGAAACTCACCCTTCGCGAGCAGGTTTACAGCGCTAGCGAAAAGGAATGTGCGTGTTTGGTTTGGGCAGTCCAGAAACTGGCTTGTTATATTGCCGGAAGCAAGTTCATTGTGGAAGTGGACCACTGTCCTCTCACCTGGCTACAGACCATGTCCTCTAAGAACGGCCGCCTGCTGCGTTGGAGCCTCGTTTTGCAACAATATACGTTTGAAATACGCTACAAAAAGGGTGTACTCCATGGCAACGCTGATGGCTTAAGTCGATGCCCCTGACGCGAGAGGATGTCTCGAGAACTCTGGCATTTTTTTTCCTGACCTAGACAAGAGCTAGTGATTGTTTTTTTACTCTTTTAGGTGTACTTGTTTGAAAACGTTGAAGACACGGCTATCCAGGGTTTCGGGTTCGGTGTGCTTCCAGTGTTCTTGTTTTGTGTCACCTTAAAGTGTGAGTAACATTTTGAATAAATTGTGTATTTCCTTTAATATCAGTTAAAGGGGAAAATTGCCTGGTGGAGTTTGGCGGAATTGTCCGGCGCTCACCGGCTGAGTAGTTGTGTTTTCATGTGCGTATGTGATGTCTGTTGGGCCCTCAATGAATCAGGTGTTGCCCTCTACTTCATCAAAGACGGTCGTCACCAAACCGACTGCCGGCGCTGATCTCTCCGGACAGTGGCTGCAAACCTCAGCCCATCGAGATCTTCACCCCCCGCGCGAGAGACTGTTACGACCGGCCCTGGGGAGCCAAGCAGGAAGTGTTTGGGGGAGAACCGGTTCTTGACCTGACGGTGTCGTCCACCCCCACCTCCCCATTCGGGTTCCTCCTCGCCGGGAGAGCTACGGGGTCTGCTGTGCGTTCGTGACCATATTTGGTAACATTTTGGGGCGCCGGGACCATATATGGACCTCGTGTTGGGTTGGGCCACTCCTTGTGTTGTGAGAGGTGTTTTCCCCTCCCTCGTGGCCGAGGTGCCGGCGACACCGTATTGGCTGACGATGCGGACAAGGCGCCCAGTGTCAACAACGTGGCGCTATAAAATGCCGAAGACGTTTTGTATCGCACGCACTCTTCTCTCTTTGGGTCAGTTGACCACTTCTCCACATGTAAATAAATCTCTGTTGTTCGTTCGGGCGCTTCTTCTCGCTGAATTGTTGGACGATGGATCCTGCGACGGGGCCAGCTACCGAAAACGAGACCGGCAGGACCCGGAGTCACAACAGCGCCTATAGCATTTGTGTTCGTCGTTCATTCAAGTGAAGTAATACAAAATTTGGTGTATGTGAAGCTGGCGAAATAGCCGCGAACGCATCACGAGCGTGGCAAGTAGTCATGTCCTTACATGACACACATCTCGCGAGTATCATGTTTACACCAGTCATACACCTTCGTGATCCATTCACGTCCCGTAATACCAAATTTGGTACATGTGAAGCTAGCGAACGCCCGCGGCGCACCACAAGCGTGGCGTGTGGTCCCGACTTACATGACATGCATGTCATGATTTCTACGTTAGGTTTTGTCACTTATGTTGGCCATGAGGTCATGTCATACCGTACCAGTTTTGCAATATGCCACGTGAACGAAACCTCCACAATAGCAGAAAGACTATGAAATCTAAGTCATGAAGTTCATGACATACATGTCATGATTGTCATGTTATGACTAGTCAGTTATCCTTGTCCTACAGTCATGTTATGGCACACCAGTTTCGGTATAGATACCATTATCCAAAAGGCCAGGGGAGCTGGAAGTCGTAAGTGTCTAGATATGATTACAGTCGGCGAAGTTCGCTAAGAAATGCTTCGCATTTAATAAAAGGCTGTTAACTAAAACAAAACATAAGGCCACGATTCATGATCTGAAGCACACTGCTTTGGCCAAATATCAGCATTCACATAGTAAATATGCGTGATTTTTTTTTGCGTAATTGATCTTTGACAACAGACACCAACAACTTAGGGCTGTAACTGCTCGTCAGCGCCACGCGAGACAACTCGCACTATTTCATTCTATCGAAGTTCTTCTGATCAAGCGCTTACTTCCCGTTTTCCGAATGTTGAGACATTGATCCTACTCACGGCTGTCAAGCGGGCCCGAGAGGTGGCCGGCAGGCTCGGATTGCCGGTCCCTACGTGGGACTGAGCCGGGTGCGTGTCCCAGTCACGTTCCGCAGGACTAAAATAAAGTTATATTCCTTCCTTTCCTTCTTCGTTTGTTCCCTCCTTCTTTTGTTCGTTCCTTCCTTCCTTCCTGCTTAAAAAAATGGAACCAGCTCCGTTCGTGACACTGATGAAATGCTGAGACTGGTCGCTTTCTCTTCATCGGTCTATCGTACTTCTACGTTTTGCAAGTCTTTCAGATATGTTAATTGTATCACTGCTCTACAGTCAACACTGTTTGTCAAGCTTCGAGGCGTTATTACGGCCACCACCTCGTATAATCATAAAATATCACGTGACAGTGGTGTGACTATGGTAACGCGCACGCCACTTGCTTGGGGTAACTGTTGCCGTCTACAGTTCTAGTTGAAGTTGTGTGTAGTGGCATTCAGCGAATTTCTCTGGCACGTAAGTGTTCACGATGACGAGAGTTTCCTGATGTGCCGCCCAGATTTTCTGTACCGTGAACATTGCTCTTTGTTCGTCTAACTGTTGTCTTCATTATTAGTGGACGTACCAGTGGTGAATAGAGAATGAGAGAGAGAGCGCTCTTTAATAAATAACAGCTAGCCTTGCCGGAGTTTGTAAGGCTACTCTGCATAGAGGAAGGGGATCGAGTACAAAAAGGCCCTAGGAGGAGGAAGGCAGTAAAAACGGGGTAGAAAAGAAAATATTATGATCGTGGTATACTTGCTTGTCCCCAAATGATGGTGATGATGTAAGTCACGTTACAGCTTATCTATTAGGTTAATATCCTCTGGGATTCTGAACGGAAAATTTTAAATGTGACATTACTGAGTAGGAGGAACAGGTCCAACTGTTTTTCTGAGACACAGCAGCTTGTGCAAAGTTGAGCCTAATCTACTTTGGAAACAATGCCTCTCTTTTCTGTATGCTAACAAAATATGCGAGTAGTGAGATATAAACAACCCTGTGGCGCACAGCATTTTATCATGCTCCCCTGCGTTACCATGGATTCCGGACATGACAGCCTCGACCAAAACTAGCTTCCCTGTTAGCAAAATACTGGCATAAAATCGATTATAATGGTTGGAGTAAAGGGTTACATTGCATACACATGACGTCACAGCATAGGTTTTCTAAGGAAATGCGCTAATAAGTGTCGGGATTATTCATTAAAATTACTAAAAAGAATTTACTGAAAGAGCAGCTATTCATTGTGTGAGCAGCAGAGATCGTTGAGGCACCTGGAGGAGCATATCTCAACCACACGTCTCACTCTGCGTAGCCTCTGGGATCTGTTTTGGCAAGGCAATGAAACACGAAGTTAACCCGACTTGCCCACCAGGCCACACGAACGCCGAGCTGCTCTGAGTGCCGCTATAAGGTTTAGGGTCACCCATAGGCGCGCACATGGGGGAAGAGGGGCAGGCAGAGAGGTGGCCGCCCCCTCTAGTCAATTAAGAGTTGGGGGTTTGTGCAAAGCACTGCCATGCTTTTCGCCTTCCCTGTAGGGGAACCCTGGGCACGTCTGTGGGGTCACATTCAATTCTTTTTTACTGGTCAATAAGAGTCAACTCTTTTATGTACGTACCTGGAAAAACGGGGACGCCGTCCTCGTCTTCGTAGAGAGTGTAAGCACTGCCGTTTCGCGAGCTTCTTCCGAGAGAAGTGCCAGTCAGGTCCTGCGTGACAGGAAAGAGAAGCTCGGTCAGGTTAACGCATAAAGTCGGTAAAGATGCGCGAGCGATGGTGGAGCAGTGGTCAGATAAGTGAATTCACGCATTAGGTGCAGCTGTTGATTAGGCTTAGCTGCCTGCATTCACAGTTGACGAATCACTGTGGTACTGTATGCAGAGTCGCAGTGCTTCGCCAGTTGTAGATCACGTAAAAAATTACGCGCAAGTGTTCTATGTTGTGCGATGCTTAACTGCATTTACACTTAGTATAGACATAAGAATAGTGCTGGGGGCTAGGTGCTCATAAGCAAAAGCAGACACATATATACCTCTTGTCTAGGTGTCTATGAAACCTAGCCACGAGCTCGTCAACTATCATAGATTGACACCAGTTAGGCATGAGATAATTGTCAAGCGCGTGCATCTTTCGATATACTATAAACCTTCATCGTGAAGATCGCTGAGGTCAAATTCGTGGCAGCTGCACCAAGCAAATGCCGCACAACTATATACGGCAAACTCACGAGATTTTTTATAACAGAAAACATTAGAAACGAGTAGCCGCTTCGGTATGAAAGAAAAGCGAAATGAACTTTTTGACACGCGGAATAGATGCGGATATGTGGGACAGAATTATGATGCGTGCGATAGCTATTTCAGGCATAAACGTAGCGTGATTACTCAGTGCGAACGTAGAAAACGCTGACACACCGACGCAAACGCAGTGACAAGAACAGAACCACATAGAAAGAAGCATCAACGATGCTTACGACTACGTAGTTATACATTCAAGTACATATTTACTTATATCAAGTCTGAAGTATCTCAATGACCAACCCCCTTGAGTGGCACAGGGCAGACGAATAAAGCAATACAAAAACAGTTTGACCTACACCACTGAAGATGTCATCACAGGACGTGTTCAGTGACGATGTCAGTACATGGCATCGTCTCTCAGTAAACGTGTGCTGATCCCACAGAGGGCACTTGTAAGCTAAGTTTGCTTGCAGCTTTGTGACGTGCATGCCGAAAATAAACATTTCAAAAACAGTTTTGCGAATTATTGTCAGTTAGTCCAACTTTTACGCTGTGACCCCACCCCCACAGCCCTCTTCTCTGATTGACCACCTGGCCTCCTACTGTGTCGCCTTCCTGCAGTTTGGGGCATATATGTGCATTTGAACGTGGGAGCGTCAGTCAGCGCCGCTATATGAGCCATGACGGCGAGCGAAACACTTTCACCCCGTTGGCGTCACGGAGCACAAGATTTTTATTTATTTTTTGCCGAGCTGGCATCTGACCAATATTGCCTCGCGTACTAACTTAAGGCCACCAGTTTGCCAGAACGAGGCCCTCGCTATGAATGAAGTCACTATGATGACGGTGCATCTAAGACCAACGGCCTCCTGTTACTGAAAGTGCTAGAGAAACTGAAGGGAAGTTTCGTGACCACCTAAAACCGCAAGGTGGCAGAATTTTATCAGCCATTCTAGTATGGTATACGCAAAGCTACGTTTTATGTCACGTATTTCAAGTGTTTCAAGAATGATAAGGAGGAAGTATACAAGGAACATAAATGAAGCAGAGTGGTGAAGAGCGGTAATATGTACGTGGTATACCAGGCACCGGCAGCGCAGAAAATATCTGATGACAACCAGCACCAGTTTGACATGTGCATATGGGATATTTATTGGTGATTTATGGTTCTACAAAACTTCACGAAATAAACCGCGTATGTTTTTCTAAAAACACCAAATATTGCTTCACAGGTCATCATCGTTCGTTAGGCTGAATTGCCTAAATATCCAGCGGACCCGGCTATAGCAACACGCCACGCTTACATGAATCGTTGCTATTGAGAATTCCAGGACTGATTGCAACTCTCAACAAAAACAAATGTGGGATACGAAGCCTTATATAGGTATAAGAGTGTAGATATGAGGACAGATTTTTTTTTTTCAACACGCTCACAACGGGAAAAGATCAGAGAAGCCTATTTGCATTGCAGTCAGCTGCACTTCAGTAATTATTTGCGTCATTGGAAAGTGCAGTCGGTTTTAATGTACTAACTCTTGCCTACACATGCGAAAAAAAGTTACCGTGTACCCCTACCATGGTAAGATCGCGTCGGAACGCTACCTTTCTTGCGCAGAAATGGATAGCGTAGCGTGCTCTCTGAAGAGTTCTGGTGTTACACTACAATACGCGGCCGCACGGAGCTTTACGCTTTGATACAGTCCAAAGTGTTACGACGCAGGATTGTTCTGCTGATCTGCGTCGTGCCATGACGTTTTTGCGAGGCAATTATTTGTACGCATGTTCTGTCGTCAATGTATAAACAGGTGTACGCATGTGTGAAAGTACTCTCTCATGTTGGCAAAAAGAACATCCCCGCACAGAAAATTTTCAATAGTGACCGATCTCCCAGGACACTTAGAGACGCTAATACACAGACTTCGACTGGAAGTAGCACACACAAATAGCTTTCTGCACAAAATACACCGATACAACCCACCCGAACGTCACTGTGGTCACGCAGATGAAAATGTTCGCCATATTCTCTTGGAGTGCATAAAGTACACAAATGAAAGAGAAAAAATAAGGAAGAAACAAGCAAGGACACATGGTCCTTCACATTAAATGAATAAATTACTTGGACCATGGCCTGAGATGCATTTTCAGAAAAATGGCGAATATCTTCCTGACATACTTCTTAATAAAGATCAGACTGGATAAGCGCTTGTGATATAGATATAGAGATTAAGATATATGGAATTACGGGTTAGTACGTATACTGAGAGTAGAAAAAAAGAAGGTGAGCGTGTGACCGTTTTACGACAGTGTGAATCGCTACAAGCAAACTACATTGACAAGCTATTTCTACTGGTCTCAGTGTGTTATTAAGTTTTTTTTTGCTGATTGTTAATTTTGGATACCATTCATTACTATTATTTTTTGCTGCAGAAATTACTGATATCCAGTAGCCCAGGTAACATAGAGTTCAACCTCTCCCCAGCAAAACAGACAGAAAAAAAAAACAGAACAGAGCATCCAAGTAACGCTTGTGCTGAGTGCTCATATTCTTCATCTTCTAAATGATACAGTGTTTCCTCCCGTCAAGATGTGCCAACGTGACACATCTTATTCTCTGAAACCATCAGTATAAGCGACGGAAGGAAATAATATCATTCAGCATTCCCATCGCGGTTCCGTCAGTTATAATAAGCGGTGCGTATCGTTTTACACCTCTGACCCCTCAAGACCCACGGCCGGGTGGAGGCGAGACGAGCTCTTCCGCTACTACATATACATCCCGTGTACTTCGCGACATTGCTCCGATGGCCAAAGGACACAAGCGGCCACTGCCGGCTATAAAAGCACCGGGAGCAGGGGTATTTTCTCTCGGGGACTCTGCACTTGCCCCGAGGCGGTCGGAGGCGCGATGTCGTGAGAACCGTGCACGATCATTGCCGTGGGAATCATCGGTGGGTCTGCTCGGGTGGCACGCAAGCCAACATGTACACTCCCCTTGGGCTACAAGCGAGGTGGCGACAGGTTTCCGGTCAACCCGCGGCCCTCCGCGATCAAACAGGTCTCCGCCCTTTCTCGCCACTTTCACGGCGTGTACGCAGCGTATCGGTTGTTTCTCTTCGCAGGCACTGCGCCATGCTCCCGACCGGGTTGAAAGAAATTAGGTGCGTTTTCTCATCTTCTAACCACTACCACCACCTGCACCGATCCAGAGCACGGCGCAGTGCCTAAGGCAACAGTGGTGGGGCTGGTCAAAGCCACTTAGAACACGTTAGAAGAGGAGAAATGGCTGCATAAATAAGGTGTCTCTCTCCTCTTCTAACCACTACCACCACCCCCGTTGCCTACTATATTCTTACGGTGCGGGCAAACGCTTCATTCTTTTTCCTCACCATAAAGAATGGTTCTCTTCCAGTATGTCCGCACTCCATCATTCCTCCGAGTCCTTGAGCCATGATTTATTTCAATTTGTTTTAGAGCGTCCTCACAGTGGGGTAAAATGCTTGTTTTGCTCGAACCCTTTCTAGAAATGCGCAACACAGCATATAAACACCAAGCACAGATCTGCTTTAAAGCGCTATACGATGCATGCATCAACATTGTTTTGGACAGATGTTCTTGCTTTTTAAAGACGATATAGTCTTTCTTGGGGACCTTCGACGGAAAAATTTTGGTCTGTCTGTCTGTCTGTACATTTGTCTGTCTGTCTGCTCTTACCGATACCTCAAACGGCATCAAAAGGCCAACCCCATCCGCAGTGCCCACCAATATTGCTCAAGCTTCAGCGTTCATACTTGTGCGATTGTCAATTAAAAAGCAAATGTTGTGCATATCTGAGGCACCATAAGAACACGTCAATGTTTTTTATGTGTGCCTTTATAATAGAGAAGGCACACACAAGTAATTCTAAGGACCATAACGTTTATCAAGCTGCGCTGACAGTGCAACGCGATGCTCAAAAAGGGATGTGCTTCTAATGCTTTGCAAAGGCGACACGGTGGTGGCACCTGCCCGTCGTTTTGCGTTCTACACCTTATCACCTCCGAGACAGGAGCGCGTCTTCCTTCGCGGACGCGCACGCCTTCCTTCGTTGTCGAACTGCCAGATGGCGCTCGTGTTTAACGTGCCTCGATGCGCTCTTTCGCCTCCGCTACACGCTCGAGGCACAAACGCAGCACCTTCAGAATACCATTCACCATATTTCTTGCTCGGAACATCAAATAAACATTTTGTTCACTCTCTCCAGACGCAAGACGATCGTCTTTCAAGGGCATTTGCAGTGTAACATGCAGATTCAGCGCCAATTTTTTATTTTGATATTTCCTTGCTTTATTGTAGGTAACATTCGAAGTATAAACACTTTTGTCGGCCAATCACGTACGTTCTCTGTTGTTCACATTTTTTCACTTTGCTGACGTGTGGTGTACTGTCGGAGCATAAGAGCACGTTACCCAAGCTTCCCATGACTCCTGTCG